CAGGCCCAGACTCAGGTACATGCCCAGACTCACGTCCACGCCCAGACTCAGGTACATGTCCAGACTCAGGTACATGTCCAGACTCAGGTACATGTCCAGGCTCAGGTACAGGTACAGGTACAGATTCAGGTACACGCCCAGACTCAGGTAAACATCCACACTCAGGTACACCAGCCTCAGGTACACGCCCAGACTCAGGTTCATGTCCAGACTCAGGTTCACCAGACTCAGGTACACACCCAGACTCAGGTACACGTCCAGACTCAGGTGCATATTCAGACTCAGGTACATATCCATTCTCAGGTACACGTCCTGACTCAGGTTACACGCCCAGACTCAGGTACACATCCAGACTCAGGTACACGTCCAGACTCAGGTACATGCCCAGACTGAGGTACACGTCCAGACTCAGGTACACGTCCAGACTCACGTACACGCCCAGACTTAGGTACATGCCCAGATTCTGGCACATGTCCAGACTCTGGTACATGTCCAGACTCAGGTACACGTCCAGACTCACGTCCATGACCAGACTCAGGTACAGGCGCAGACTGGGGTACATGCCCAGACTCACGTCCACGCCCAGACTCAGGTACAGGTACAGACTCAGGTACATGCCTAGTCTCTGGTACACTTCCAGACTCAGGTACACGTCCAGACTCAGGTACATGCCCAGACTCAGGTACATGACCAGACTCAGGTACAGGTACAGACTCAGGTACACGTCCAGACTCAGGTACACGCCCGGACTCAGGTATACGTCCAGACTCAGGTACACGTCCAGACTCAGGTACACCAGAATCAGGTACACGTCCAGACTCAGGTACATGCCCAGACTCAGGTACACATCCAGACTCAGGTACACCAGACTCAGGTACACGTCCAGCCTCAGGTACATGTCCAGACTCAGGTACATGCCCAGACTTACGTCCATGCCCAGACTCAGGTACAGGTACAGACTCAGGTACACATCCAGACTCAGGTACACGCCCAGACTCGGGTACATATCCACACTCAGGTACACCAGACTCAGGTACACGCCCAGACTCAGGTACACGTCCAGACTCAGGTACATATCCAGACTCAGGTACACAAGACTCAGGTACACGTCCATACTCCAACTACACATCCAGAATCAGGTACACGCTCAGACTCAGGTACACGTCCAGACTCAGGTACACTCCCAGACTCAGGAACATGTCCAGACTCGGGTACATGTCCAGACTCAGGGACACGTCCAGACTCACGTCCACGACCACACTCAGGTACAGGCCCAGACTCAGGTACATGCCCAGACTCACGTCAACGCCCAGACTCAGGTACATGTCCAGACTCAGGTACACGTCCAGACTCAGGTACATGTCCAGACTCAGGTACAGGTACAGGTACAGGTACAGATTCAGGTACATGCCCAGACTCAGGTAAACATCCACACTCAGGTACACCAGCCTCAGGTACACGCCCAGACTCAGGTTCATGTCCAGACTCAGGTTCACCAGACCCAGGTACACGCCCAGACTCAGGTACACGTCCAGACTCAGGTACATATTCAGACTCAGGTACATATCCATTCGCAGGTACACGTCCTGACTCAGGTTACACGACCAGACTCAGGTACACATCCAGACTCAGGTACACGTCCAGACTCAGGTACATGCCCAGACTGAGGTACACGTCCAGACTCAGGTACACGTCCAGACTCAGGTACACGCCCAGACTTAGGTACATGTCCAGACTCTGGCACATGTCCAGACTCGGGTACATGTCCAGACTCAGGTACACGTCCAGACTCACGTCCATGACCAGACTCAGGTACAGGCGCAGACTGGGGTACATGCCCAGACTCACGTCCACGCCCAGACTCAGGTACAGGTACAGACTCAGGTACATGCCCAGTCTCAGGTACACTTCCAGACTCAGGTACACATCCAGACCTAGGTACATGCCCAGACTCAGGTACATGACCAGACTAAGGTACAGGTACAGACTCAGGTACACGTCCAGACTCAGGTACACATCCAGACTCAGGTACACGCCCGGACTCAGGTATACGTCCAGACTCAGGCACACGCCCAGACTCAGGTACACGTCCAGACTCAGGTACACCAGAATCAGGTACACGTCCAGACTCAGGTACATGCCCAGACTCAGGTACACCAGACTCAGGTACACGTCCAGCCTCAGGTACATGTCCAGACTCAGGTACATGCCCAGACTTACGTCCATGCCCAGACTCAGGTACAGGTACAGACTCAGGTACACGTCCAGACTCAGGTACACGCCCAGACTCGGGTACACGCCCAGACTCAGGTACATGCCCAGACTCAGGTACACTTCCATACTCAGGTATCCTTCCAGCCTCAGGTACACGCCCAGACTCAGGTACACGCCCAGACTCAGGTTCAGGTACAGACTCAGGTACACGTCCAGATTCAGGTACACGTCCAGACTCAGGCATACGTCGAGACTCAGGTACACGCCCAGACTCAGGTACACGTCCAGACTCAGGTACACCAGACTCAGGTACACGCCCGGACTCAGGTATACGTCCACACTCAGGTATACGTCCAGACTCTGGTACACACCCAGACTCAGGTGTACGTCCAGACTCAGGTACACGCAAAGACTCAGGTACACGTCCAGACTCAGGTACACGTCCAGACTCAGGTACACGCCCAGACTCGGGTACACGCCCAGACTCGGGTACAGGTACAGACTCAGGTACACGTCCAGACTCAGGTACACCAGACTCAGGTACACGCCCAGACTTACGTCCACGACCAGACTCAGGTACACCAGTCTCAGGTACACGCCCAGACTCAGGCACAGTTCCAGACTCAGGTACATGTCCAGACGCAGGTGCAGGTCCAGCCTCAGGTACACGCCCAGTCTCAGGTACACGCCCAGACTCAGGTACACGCCCAGACTCAGGTACACGCCCAGACTCGGGTACACGCCCAGACTCGGGTACACGCCCAGACTCAGGTACACGCCCAGACTCAGGTATACTTCCAGACTCAGGTACACGCCCAGACTCAGGTACACACCCAGACTCAGGTACAGGTAGAGACTCAGGTACACGGCCAGACTCAGGTACACATCCAGACTCAGGTATACGTCCAGACTCAGGTACACGCCCCGACTCAGGTACACGTTCAGACTCAGGTACACCAGACTCATGTACACGCCCGGACTCAGGTATACGTCCAGACTAAGGTATACGTCCCGACTCAGGTACACACCCAGACTCAGGTGTATGTCCAGACTCAGGTACACGTCCAAACCCTAGTACACGTCCAGACTTAGGTACACGTCCAGACTCAGGTACACGCCCAGACTCGGGTACATGCCCAGACTCGGGTACACGCCCAGACTCAGGTACATGCCCAGACTCAGGTACACTTCCATACTCAGGTATACTTCCAGACTCAGGTACACGTCCAGACTCAGGTACACGTCCAGACTCAGGCATACTTCCAGACTCAGGTACATGCCCAGACTCAGGTACACGTCCAGACTCAGGTACACCAGACTCAGGTACACACCCGGACTCAGGTATACGTCCACACTCAGGTATACGTCCAGACTCTGGTACACACCCAGACTCAGGTGTACGTCCAGACTCAGGTACACGCCCAGACTCAGGTACAGGTACAGACTCAGGTACACGTCCAGACTCAGGTACACCAGACTCAGGTACACGCCCAGACTCACGTCCACGACCAGACTCAGGTACAGGCCCAGACTCAGGTACACGCCCAGACTCAGGTACATGTACAGACTCAGGTACACGCCCAGTCTCAGGTACACGCCCAGACTCAGGCACACGTCCAGATGCAGGTGCAGGTCCAGACTCAGGTACACGCCCAGTCTCAGGTACACGCCCAGACTCAGGTACACGTCCAGACTCAGGTGCACGCCCAGACTCAGGTACACGTCCAGACTCAGGTACACGCCCAGACTCAGGTAAACTTCTGGCTGTGGACTCTAAAAAGCAACGGAGCATATTTACTTTTGTTTTAATTATGTTACAGGTGATTTTATCAGATTTCTGAGGCTCATACAGACGAGTTTCGGTGAGCGTAGCTGCGTCTGACTGATGCAGAATTAGTTTTTTTTATCTGCAGTGAGACAAATCTAACCTCACTTCACTCAGAGATTGTTCATTAAAGCTCATATTAAATCCACTGTGTTGACGCACTTTAACCACTTTGTGACACTGCTCTTTAGCTGATATGGGACTTTATTTACTGGATGCTAAGATGACATCACACTCACTGAGTAAAACACACAGGCTCTCTGCTGCTACGCTCAGTGGAAGGTTATCATCTGGTGTAAAAATGGCGTTGATCAGAATTTCCAGATCACATTGTATTCCACGAAAATCATCCGAATCCACATTAATCTGGGTGCTAACTTTACTAGCATATTGTGCTAGCGTTAGCAGGTTTTGATGCCAATGCTATAGTGCTGCTAATGCCCATAAATCTAGCCACTGGCGGACCAACACACTCACTCACACACACATAAGTGTGCGTAACGCTGCCTTTGCTGTCCGGTTTAAAGTACCATCAAGCTGCAGATATTTCAACTCTCCTGAGGGGACACGTTAGCGCTGTGTTAACAGCACTTGGTGTCTGAGTCCATGCCTGATGTAAATTGTGACGTTACTGTGTTGTTTTCATACAAACAATTATTATTGATGTAGAGGAACTTATTGAAATTAAAACTAAGCCATTTTCATTCAGTTAGAAGATCTCTGTTTCAGGATGAATTTCAGTCATGTTGGTTGTTTTAAAGCCAAATCTGATTTATTTCTGCCAATTCTGATCCTTTTTAGAAGACGTGATCAGATCAGAGTATCCCTAGAAACTGTATATTTTAGACGGGGCCACAATTATTTTGTTTGTAAACAACAAGGTGTCTCCCTTTTATAAAAGCAGGGTTTGTGAATTATGTTTTAAAGTGTTCCCCCTTCTAATCCTGTGGCTGAATTGTAGGTGTGTGTGTGAACCCGGAAGCTTCCAATGCCCAGATGGTCAGTGTGTTCCTGCTGCCAGAGTGTGTGATGGACACAGGGACTGTCCGACTGGAACCGATGAAACTGCTTGTCCAAGTAAAGCTAAACACTTTAACAAGCATCATGCTTTCCTTTGTTTTAGGGGTCGAGTCTGACTAAAACAAAGTGTTTCAGTTCAAGCTGAGCTGGAATTTCTGCCTCTTTTATTACCATCCACTGGAGGGAGAAAGTGCTCTCTGAAACCCCCCAAAATTTGCGCGATGCTTCAGAACGCTGCAATATACACGTAACCAGTGGGTGGAGTCGACAGAACGAGTGATGCACACCCACCATGGTGACTCCGTCTCTGGTTTGGAGGTCTTTCACACCATCTTCGATACTGCTGCTTTTTGGTGTGATGTCTGATGCCATGTTTGTTTGGTTGTACCCAGAAACCCGGCTCTCTGTCGGGTCTGAGTAGTCTAGTGCGCCCCCTAGTGGAGCATGCCAATACTATGTGCAGTGCAGTGCAGCAGCAAGTATGTGAACAGAGACGCACGCAGCCTGCTGCCTGCACCAGTGCAGGTCAGACAGCAAGTGTATCACGGCCCTTAAAGAAGCCATATGGTAGACTTTTGGAGCTTTTGACCGTGTGATGTTATTTCCCCGTGACAAATACCCCAAACTCCTTTTTCAGTTCAGTTCAGTTCATTTTTATTTCAAACATTGTGTACAATATTTCATTTTATTTCAAACATTTTTGGCTGCATGTCTAAGCTGCAAGTGCAGTCAGTGACTTGATGCAACCTGCTGGGTTCCTTATATAGGAAACATTTTTTCTGATTGGCTTAATGAACTGACCTGAATTGGAATGTTTATTATGTGAAGTGCCTTGAGATGACTCTTGTCGTGATTTGGCGCTATATAAATAAAATTGAATTGAATTGAATTGAAGTGTCTAGATTCTGAGGAAAGACCTGCAGATGTGTGTCATCAGGCCTTTCTCCTCCCCATGAAGATCTCAGATCTGAAACCCGCCTTCCATGAAAGCAGGCCACTGATGCCCACTTTCTCAGAGATGCGTGCGTGTGTGCGTGCGTGCGCGCGCGCGTGCGTGTGTGTGTGTGTGTGTGTGTGTGTGTGTGTGTGTGTGTGTGTGTGTGTGTGTGTGTGTGTGTGTGTGTGTGTGTGTGTGTGTGTGTGTGTGTGTGTGTGTCTGCTCTGTCTTCTCGATCCCCAGTGAGTCATGGTGGATGGCTGCTTATACTGAGCCAGGATTCTCTGGATGTTTCTTCCTGTTAAAAGGGAGTTTTCCTCTCCACTGTCGCTGCATGCTTGCTTAGTATGAGGATTGCTGTAAAGACTCTCGCACTAGTCAGTGACTTGATGCAACCTGCTGGGTTCCTTATATAGGAAACTTTTTCCTGACTGGCTTAATGACCTGACCTGTGTTGGAATGTTTACTGTGAGAAGGTCCTTGAGACGACTCTTGTGATTGTGCGTTATATAAATAAACTGAACTCAATTGAAAAGTGGAGAAACTATGAAGGGATAAAAAGCTGCTGTTCTAGAAAATGCTGACAAACGCACAAATGTGATACGAGTCTATGAAAATGAGGAGAGCAGCAGGTCTGAGCTATGCCCTACAACCAAATCATTTGGATCACTACACCATATTTGTCCTAATATCATTTTATTGATATTTTTAGAATTTATTTTACACAAATCACTTTGAGCCAATTTAATAATACTAAATAATCATTTTTATTAATGAAGTAGTTTTTATTTTCCTCCTCCATTTTAATCCTATGGAAAAACTAACCTGCTTTAAAAATGTTCAGTGGGTAGTAAAGGATAAGTAAACACATGCATTGTACAGCCGCAAACACATCAGATTCTAACTGGGCTTATGTTGGGTTCAATGAAGATGTTAGAAAAGTAGCAATGTCCAAACAGATGGAGAATATAAACTAAATCACAAGACTGCCTTGTGAGAAATGGCAATCTACTGTGACTGAAAGGTTCCAGTTTTCAATAAGAAAAGACAAATTTCACTCATAAAATAATGTACGTACGTCTCATAGTACATCTTGAACCCCGTTACACTAAGTTTGAGAGCGGAGTAAAAAGGGGCAGAGAAACCTCTACTTAGGTATGTTTGGGTCCAGATGCAGTGGAACTGCTGATGTAGTGAAATCTTTGCATTTTAGACGTTTCCTGATTACGATGACTGATTAACAGGCTTCCGCAGAGCTTGATGACTACTCAACAGCTAATTCAACAATTGAAGCAGGTGTGTTGGAGCAGCATAATGACTAAAATGTGCTTCGTAGAGGCCTTCCCTGCTCTAGACTGTTGACTATGTAATTACTAAGCTTCCCTGTCTGGCCACAAATGTGATGCTTTTCGTCAGCGGTGACGTGTTTGCCTGTGGTGATGGTACATGTGGTGACATGTCTAGGCTGTGTGATGGAACAGCTGACTGTGAGGTCATGATGAGAACAGAACCAAGTGTTACTAATGTCACCTGTAGCGCCAGCATCAGGTAGGGTTAAACCTAGAGGGTCCGGTTTGAACCCTTTGAGAGCAAAGATCAGCGCAGGGTTTTACTGTTGCGATGTCATTCATCTTAAGTAGGAGTTGTTTTCGTCAGCCTGTCTTTGTACCCAGAAATGAAATGGTTCAGTTCAGTGAAATCCAATTCAATTCAATTTTATTTATATAGCTCCAAATCACGGCAAGAGTCGTCTCAAGGCACTTCACATAATATACATTCCAATACAGATCAGTTCATTAAGCCAATCAGAAAAACTTTTCCTATATAAGGAACCCAGCAGGTTGCATCAGGGTTACAAAAACCCTCATACTAAGCAAGCATATAGCGACAGTGGAGAGGAAAACTCCCTTTTAACAGGAAGAAACCTCCAGAGGATCCTAGCTCAGTATAAGCAGCCATCCGCCTGAGTGCCACTTATTCATTACATAACCCACAAAGCATTGTGGGCCACGACGATGCAAACAATGAGAAGAAAGCAACCTTGGAAACAGCGCCAGTGCTACGTCCAACAGTTGTGTCTGAGGTAGTGTTAGGTTAGGTGGTCTAGCGGTCAAAGCATCCTGTTTGATTCTCGGTGGCAGATTTTATTTTTTATTTTACTGTCTCTGAAGATCTTTGAATTTGGTCATTTCCAAGCAGAGATATTGTTCGAATGCTCTGGATAGGACACAGAAGAGATAAACAAAGAAAGTCCTTATATTTTAAACTGTTTACCAATAAAGGGTTGAAAACATAATACTGGCAAGTGCAGCTAAAATCCAAGGAGATGGTGGTGTCCTCAAACAACCAGAGAACACTGGTTACTGCTGCCTCCACTATCATCCATGGAAAGCCAGTGGAGCTGGTGGAAGAGTATAAACATCTAGGGACCACCTTTGATCACCTTCTGAAATTCACCTCTAACACTGTGGACGTCCTCAGAAAGTGCCAGCAACGACTCTACCTCCTGAGGAGGTTGAATTCATTTGGTCAGGAAGGGCATTTTACTGACTTTCTATCATCCTTCCATAGAGAGTGTTATTATTTGTTCCATCCCCGTCAGCCTGCAGTATAGAAACCGTCTACAGAGCACTGTCAAGGTGTGCTCTCGGATCATTGGACAACCACTGAGGAACTTATCTCAATGTGACCAGCATACAGGACGTTTAGCACAGAAAATCATTAAAGAGGGACTGCACACCATCAGAAAACATAACTACACCCCTAGTCAAGATTTGATAAATGCTTTGAAAGTGGGTGTTGCCAGAAGGCACAGAGTGGAATGGCCAAGTGTGGGGAATTTCCATTCTGGGAGGGAGGGCGAGTGGGAGGAGACTGTACCGATGACATGAAATTGTTCCAGCCCCAGCCAATCACAAGTTTAAAATGCAGTAGCCGCTGTTCTGCCACAGGGGGCAGCACTGAGACATTTTTAGACCTAGATTCTAGATTTAAAGGCACAGTCTGCAACATTTAAATGTAGAATAACTTTAAAAATGTTTGATTTTGACCATCTGACCCAATTTTATTAAAAAAAGTAAATATTCTTTAATATTTCAATTTTCTCCTTAGTCCCTCCCCTGCCCTGTAGAGCTCAGCCAATATTTCTGCAAGCCTAACGCGTTGACCAATAGCGCTGCGTTTCCACCAGGGGGTAGCTGTCAATCATCGAGCACGAGCGGGTCTCAGCGTGCACAACAGTGTCACGCGCCTCACTCGGCTTACTGCAGAAACATGGAGCAACAAAACCCCAAATGACCGATTCCTCGACTGCCTTCCCCATCTCAAAAAACATTTAAAAAGTTTAAAAGCCCTTCTTCAAAAGTGGCTGTAAGACATTTAAGACAGCTGAGTAGAATTTACATTGGAGATTGTTTTAAATGATGGAGAGATTTTCGTGATCAACACGGCCTGAAAATGGATGAAGAGTTGGCAAAGTATCTGTTGGACAGGTAAGTTATTTATTGTTTTTCAGATAAATTTACTTAAAATCTTTCTTTCACTGAAAGAAGTAATAGAGCAAACAAGCTTTGTATGCTTGGTGTCCTATTGGCTAATGTAGCATTAGCTTGAATGCTAAGTCGACATGAATCGATGCTAGTCGAACTATTTATGCTACATTTGGAAGAAGTTTGAGTAACGAAAGGGGATTCTAGTTTTTTTTATATGGGAGCTAATGATTAGTGTGGTGTTTAACTATAGGCCATATCAGTGTATTGTTTTAAGCTCTTGTTTATAACTTCCCCGTTAGCGGGGTTCAGTTAGCATCTTGAATGCTGAATTAGATGTTCACACTTTCCTGAGCTGCGTGTTTGATTAAAATGAGTAATCAGCAGCTCATGTAGCACTTGTAGAAGTCTGAGGAGATGATTCAGCAGTTAGAATTAGGTGTGACTGATCAGGAACATATCCGAAACCTTACGTTTCCATTAGCACTGAAAGACATATTGTGCTAATCTGGGTGGGCCACGTGTACAGATTACTGTCTGATTTTGTGGTCTTACCTGCGTGAAAACTCCATATTAAAATAAAAGGAATGATAATCAGCTTGTGCAGAAATCTGTGAAGGCTGGGGAGACTT